ACCTAGCTCTGACTCCCGAGTGCTGGGATTAAAGTTGTGTGCCACCGTCACCTGGCAAGCAACTCAGAAAATTCAAATGATAAGTCTCAAATCAAAAGCTGTAATTACAACTGAAATTCAGGGCAACATCAGAAATAAGTATGAAAATTTATTCTCTTAAAATAATTATATATAGGAAAACTATTTGTAAAAATTAAAGGAAAAATAAAAATATTCACGATAAAAATAGTTAGAGAAACTTATGATCACTAATCCAACTCCACAGAGAATAATGAATGGGATATTTAGCCAGAAGAGACTAAACATATTCATGGTTACAGGAAATGAGTAAACAATTACTGAATAGTTAATTCAGAGTTCTAAGAAAATACCAAAAACAACAACATGACAGGAGTTATTACACTCCTTCCAATAATAACTCAGTGTTGATGGTCTCAATATCACAGCAAAGTGATTCAGACTATCAGATTGGATTAGAAAAAGGGATCATATTTGTTTCTGCCTTGAGAAACAGACCTCACCATCTTAGCACACAACACCTTAGGTTAAAGGTTGGAAAAAGCTACTCCAAGAAATGGAACTAAGAAACAAACAGTCATAGCTACTATAATATGTGATAGAATTGATGTCAATATAAAACTAGTTAGAAGATTTAAAAAAAGATTGGTTCATACTTGTTAATCAGAGTCCAACAAAAGCATATTACAATTATGTATGTATACAGATAGATCGTATATATATACACATATATGCAGCAAAAGTTGCCGAAAATTAATAAAAATTAATAACAGCACAGATAAAACCCAACATAATGACTTTGGGTAAATTCAATACACTATTTTCTTTTTTTTAATTAAGAAAATTTTTTATTCATTTTACACACCAATCAAAGATCCCCCTCTTCCCTACCCCGCTCCCCCCAGCCTCCCCCTCCAACCCACCCCTCACTCCCACCCACAAGAAGGCAAGGCCTCCCATTGGGAGGCACATTCAGTAGAGGCAAGTCCAAGTCCTTACCCCTGCCTCAAGGCTGCAGGAGGTGTCCCATCATAGGTAGTGGGCTCCAAAAAGTCTGCTCATGCCACCAGATGGATTCTGATCTTACTGCCAGGGGGCCTCCCAAGCAGATCAAGCTACACAACTGTCTGGCCATGCAAAGTAGCCTACATCCAGTCCCATGTAAGCTCCACAGCCATTGATCCAACTTTCATGAGTTCCCTCTAGTTTGGTTTGGTCATCCCTGCATGTTTCCGCATCATGATCCTAATGCACTTGCTCAAAGAATCCCTCTTCTCTCTCTTTGACTGGACTCCTGGAGCTCTGTCTAGTGACTGGCTGTGGATCTCTACATCTGCTTCCATCAGACATTGCAGAAAAGTTCTGTGATGACAGAGTATTCACAGGTCTGATCTCCGGGGCGAGCCAGTACAGTTCAGGCACCCTCTCCACTATTGCTAGTAGCCCAGGCTGGGGTCATCCTTGGGGATTCCTAGTAACTTCCCTAGCACCGGGTTTCTCTCTATCCCCATGGTGTCTCTCTCTATCATTGCATCACTTTTATTGCATTCTCCCTCCCTCAATACACTATTTTCACCAATACACAGTTCATCTGAACAATTTTCACACAGAAACATTGTGAGGTAAATGTAATGAAAGTTCAATGTGATGTAATGAAATGAATCTCATAGATGTCTTCCAAACGTTTCACACAAACATGACACTTCTACTGACTGTAGGTAAGACTTAGCATGAAGAGCCTTGAAACTGCTTCTCCGTGGAAAAAGATTGTCAAGTTCTAGTTTTCAGTTGAGGAATTCTTTTTACTGTGAGCTATACTGTTTTCATGGTGACTGAGTGGGCCTTTGAATAGTGTCATTTCTGTCTCTGTAGTTTCCTAAGAGAGTGACATATATTTTAGGAACTAACTGTGTCAGATTTTGTATCCATCTAGGCAAGGTTCTTCCTGCCATAGGAGATGGTCTCCTGGGGATTGTCTGAGGTTAACTGAGAGGAATAAATCCTGTGTAGTCAGGAAACACCCTTGCTGGCCCCTCTCTGCACCTGCTTCTCAGGCTCTGCACAATTAATTTATTTTGGTTTTCTCTTTTGCTGTTACATGACAACAAATATTTAGCAATGTTATTGATGATATGAAACTGATGTCATTTCGAAATAATATGGAGAAACAGATTTTGTTCCTGTGTTTACCTTGATGAATCATGGTCTCTCTTTGGTGATTCTTACTCCCACATTGGGGTTGCTATGAAATGTTTATAGACAGTTATAAAGTCTATATTCCTTATAGAGCAGGATGATTGCCCTAGGAATATTGTGCTATTGTTATACATCATACTAGATATAATATGGAATTTTGTGGAGGATAGTAGCTTTGTCTTTTCTTGAAAAATACACCTGTCCCTCCTGAAGCAGGCCCTGTGAAACTTGCATTTGCCTAGCCAGTTGAAAACTAACAACAACCAAACATTCATACCTGTCTTAATCTTACTGTTGATGGTTCTGCCAAAATCATATGTAAGGAAACCACTCTTTCCTTTCTGTCCTGACTCTGTGGCTCATATTTGAAAAAGAGAGTCCATGGTGGTGTTGAGTTTCTATACATTGCACAGAGGACAACAGAGGAGTGCTGGACCTTGGAGGACAAGAAATTTCTATCCACATTTTACCTGGTGAAGGAGACAATGAGTGTCATATTATTTGCATGAATTCAGCAGGGATCTGACAATTCTTTGATCCTAAGTCTTAGATCCTCTTGATAGATGCCTTCTAGTACATTGGAGAGTCCCACTCAATACAGAGGCCTGAAGTGGAAGATTCTCTTGCCTTCTGATCAATCCCTGATTTCCACATGGAGGAGACAGGAGGTGTTTAATAAAGTTACTGATATTTCAAACAGTTTTTTAAAATCAACATAGGTTTGTATAGTCCTTAACATAAAATTGGCCTAGGGGATTTACGCCTGCCATAATATATTCCCCCAAACAATTACATCCATATTAAACATATAACATTCACATTCATCATGTGGAAGGAATGTCTACTAGAGAAACATCTAAATTAAATGTTCTGAACTAAAAAGTCATCTCACTGACATCAAAACATTGAGATTACCAAGTACCAGAGCATTGATCCAAAACCAAGTGCTCTATAGAATGCATGTTATCATTAGTGACCTGTGAGAAATAATGTTGTATCAATGTAGGTATATGTTCTGTATAGGTCAGGGCAATGAGACTAGGAATGCAGAAAATATGATAATAACAGAAAATAATGATTAATTTCAGAACCTATCTTCAATTAACATGCACATGCATTGGGTTATTATGTGATTTGTGTGCAAAAATTATTTAATAGAACTTTTAACCGATTACAGGAATTATTTGTTCTTGTTGTTGTTTCTTCAAGACAGGGTTTTTCAGTGTAGCTTTGCACCTTTCCTGGATCTTGCTCTGTAGACCAGTCTAGCCCTGAACTCACAAAGATCCACCTGGCTCTGCCTCCTGAGTGCTCGGATTAAAGGTGTGTGCCACCACCACACGGCATACAGGAATTATTTTTTATGAAAGTATAAAATAATAAAACTATCTCTTACATCATAAGAGGCTAAACTTTTTGCTGGACATCATAGACAGAATGAATAATACATTTTGAGGTCACTTAAGACTTAGGGCTGCTATAGTACTATGTATTCAGCTTGTTTCTTTACTTGCCTTTAAGAGAATAATGTAACAACAAAACTTACTTGCCTTGGATTTCCCAGGCTTCCAACATTTACAACCTCAGTTAATAACGGTTCTAATCTTAAGTTATGTGCTCTTCTATGCTCCTAAAGCAAGAGTATTTACTGCATGTATAGTTTTATATGTGCTATGACATTCACTTGCTGAAAACACTAAAAATATAGGTTCAAATAAACCTTATAAAATGAATACCCAGAATAGTTGAAGAAAACAAAAAAATAACTCTTGATAAACAAGGATGTTTGTAACACACACACAGAGAAAGAGAGAGAGAGAGAGACAGAGAGACAGAGAACAGTGAGGGAAAGAAATAGAGATTGAGAGAGATTTAGACTCATATAAGAGAGAAACAGGAAAAAAAGACACAGGGAGAGAGAACTCAAACTGGGCTTCTCTTGGTCATATAACACCAAAAGAAGTCTTTGATTTCTTTCTTTAATGTGAAGTAGAAGAATATTGCTTAACCTGAGTTTATTATGTGATAGAATCTATACATTTTAGAATCTTGTGTGAGCAATCACTAATGAATTAAATCTACTCTATTGATACCCTGAGTTGGGAACATTTAATATATTAGTGAAGCATTTGGAGCACTCAGTGTTAGGGAACAGTAAACTAAACTCATGAGAAGAAAGATCCCTTGGTGAGGATGTGAATTGTGGCCATCCCTGTCATCAAAAGCAACAGTAGCCTAGACATCTCCCGAAGCTTCTCCCTCATCTGCCTGGGTTGTTGAGAGGTCTTAAGTAAAGAGAAATTTGGACTTCTTAGATCAGTGGAACCAGTGGATGGCTAATGTCACTCCCTATAGGCCTATTGGGGATATTTTTATTCAAACCACAATACAGTTAGATTAAAACATTGAATCCTCTGGAACCAAGTTAGGTTCCAACTGACTTTGATTGTTTAGGCAAACCAAGATGGATTATGAAAGGGGCTTTTGTTTGCCTTTGAATTGGTGATTTGACTTTTAATGTCCTAATTCATGTGATAGCTTATTCCCATCTTCTCCAGCAACAGTTCCAGACCCTTAGATTTAAGAGATATTTATGTCATCATGTATTGCCACAGTTTGCCCAATTTTGTTTTATAAGAGAAAAAGCATGTCAATAGTGGTCACTGATTAAGAGCTGATAAAAGGATGATGTAATATAAGAACATCATCAATCAACATCTCTTTATTCTCAGTGGTCCTTTTGAAAAGTTGGCAAAGGCAGTATAAGACTGTGAGGAGAAAGCAGACTAATGGACACTCAGAACGATTATTTCTGTGTAAGTCTCCAGTCTAATCTTCTCTGTCATCTTAGTCCCAGGGCAGCTTCCTGATCCTCCAGGGTTCCTGACACACTCAGGATGTGGTTGCAACACTGTGTGTCTTGCACAGTAATAGACCGCAGAGTCCTCAGATGTCAGGCTGCTGAGCTCCATGTAGGCTGTGCTGGAGGATGTGTCTGCAGTCAGTTTGGCCTTGCCCTGGAACTTCTGATTGTACTTAGTTTCACCATCTTCAGGATCAATCCTTCCAATCCACTCCAGGCCCTGTCCAGGCCTCTGCATCACCCAGTGCATATAGTAGCCAGTGAAGCTATAGCCTGAAGCCTTGCAGGACAACTTCACTGAGGACCCAGGTTTCCTCAGCTCTGGACCAGACTGCTGCAGCTGGACCTGGGAGTGGACACCTATGGGGAGAAAAGCAGAGTGTATGTCACTTTCACCTGAGTCTATGGACCCTCATTCAGTCTGGAATGTGGGAGCTCCTTACCTATAGTTGCTGCCACCAGGAAGAAGATAATCCAGCTCCATCCCATGGTGAGGACCTTGTGTGCTCAGTGGTTGTGGAAAGGACACTGATCTTATGTTGTTGTTGGGTATGGACATCCCTATATTTACCACCATAGATTCACATGATTTGCATATTCATGAGGCAGTGTACTTCTTATAGAAAGACCTGCTGTAGCTGGTAAAGAGATATCTAGACAACCTGGATCAGGCTTTAGGATGCAGAAGTCCAAGTTCTAATCTAGTCTGAGGACATATATCCCATACTAATTCCCTGAGCCTTGTGGGTGTAACATTACTTTGTGGATGCAACATTAAGGCCTATGTGCTCAATTCACAAATAGACTTCAGCCCGAGGCAGCTCGTCCTTTAGATCACAAAATTGATTTACAGGCGGTGGTTGGGATGAGGATATTGTGAATGTGAATTTTCTAAACTCCTAAATTATGAGAATTTGAAAGCTTCTTTCATATACATGCAATAGTCCATGCTTTTCCCCCAGGTTGCATTCTAAAAAACTTATCCAAATAAGCAAAAGTGAAAATGTCTCAAAAATACATTCACACAAATGTTATTGCAGCACTCTCTACAATAAATAAATTATAGAAACAAACAAACAACATGTCTTTTGAGCAAATGATTGCATCAAGAAAACATATATATGTGATAAAACAGAATTTATTCATCAGTATACTATGAAGAACTTACATTATTTTTAGGAAAACGGATGAAATTGTTGAAAACTTTATTAAGTAAATTAAGATCATCTCAGAAAAACAGATATTGTATAAATATTTCATTTGTAGTTTTTAGATATTGCACAGTTAGATATAATTATGTTTGCAACATATGTAATGATGCAGAAATGAAACTGTCTAATAGAATAAAAGTGGCAAATTGGAATGGTAGGAGCAAGAAAAGACAGGTTGAGTTCATGGAGGAAATAGAGTGTACATTATACATCTGTGTAAAAATTCTAAAACATATGTAAAATTAATTTTTTATTTTTAAATAATATTTTTGCTTATTTCTTGAAATTTTCATTCAGAAATGCAATATTATATGCTCATATCCTTCCTTACTATCTATCTCTGGCTCCCCTTGGGACCCCCTAAAATAATATTTTCATCTCTTTTGTTTTACTAATGAATAACTCACTAATTCTAATTAGTGCTATCCATATGCATAGAGTGGTTGTCATCCAATAGCTCTTAGGTAACCTTCAAGTGGACTCACTCCAAACAAAAGTGATTATAAATTCCTCAGCAATCTTCCAATTCCAATAGCTCCTCCTCTTGGCCTTGGCCCTCCCCAACTGGTCTTGTAATCTTTTAAAAAATAAATTTACACTATGTTTAGTGTAGGATTGGACTAGAGCACCCCTGTGCCAGTCTGGATGTGATACCTAGAGGACACCTCATGAAATTCAGTTCTCTTCTAAGATTGAGTCTCAGAAATCTAACTAATATCATCAGATTTGCCATCAGGCATCTTTATCTGCTCACCATTTCACAGACTCTTGTAATGTAATTTGACTGGCTTGATTTTGAGCAGGTCTTGTGCTGGTAAATATAGGTGCTGAGAGTTCATTTGTGCAATGAGAATAGAGAATATGTCAATCTCTGGAGATAGAATTTCGTGTCTTTCAACCCCATTCTTTGGATCTTACATTATTTCTTTTCTCTGATTTGTGACAGTCCTTGAGCTTTTAGTTGATATAGATGACACATCTGTGACTGAGAACCCAGGCACTCTTTCTCAGCATTTTGATCAGTTATAAATGTTTGCATTAGTCATTACACACAAAGCGAAGTTTCTATTATCAAGGCCAAGAGCAGCAGGATTTTTAGAATATACACATAAGTATTTATAAAGCATTCTGATAACTGATTGGTAGCAATACAATTAGAGTCAATAAAGACCTATGAATAATGCAGCCATGGTGTTTTGAACATACTTACCTAGGATGAAGTCTTTCGTATGGAGTAGGACCCTCATCCAAGTAGAAAGCAATGGGTCACTACATGACAGTCAGCACTAGTGGATACATCTTACCTGGAGGCTGATATTATAGACTGCAAGGTCTGGCACTTCATAAGCTCACTGGTGTCTTTTCTCTCCCTGAAAACTTCATAGCATGTTTCTGAACTAGAAAACCTAGCCAACAGGAAGAATTTCCTGTTCAGTTCCATGTTGTTTTCTCTATGTCCTGCATGAAAATCCTTAGCTAATAATGGACTGCAGATTAAAACAACTTCAATGTTACATTTTTACCTCATTTAAAATAACCATAATCCAGGAAACAAATGACAGCAAATGCAGACATGGATAAGGAGAAAGGCTAATCCTGAATCATTGTTGATGGGATTGTAAACTAGTGTAGTGACTTTGGAAATCAGTTTAGAGATTTCACCAAAACATAAGAACTAGAAGTGTGATATCTCCATGCTATATCCCTCCCAAACACATACCAAAAGGACTCTGTGTCTTATTACAGAGACACCTGCATATCCATGTTTATTGCTGCTCTATTCACAACAGCTGAGAAAACAGAATCAACCTAGATTTCCAACAACTGACAAATAGATAATGAAAATGTGGGACACATAGACAATGGAATATTATTCAGTAGCAAAACATAAAATATGGAATCTACAGGTAAGTGGATGAAATTGGAAAAAAAATATACTGAATGAGGTCACTTAAACACAGAAAAACAAACGCTGCATGTTTTATCTTATATGTGGTTCCAAGATTTGAATGTTTTGTCTTCTGTGTTTAATTTGTAAAAGCAAAGAGACTAGAAAAGTTCCATTGGGCTGTAAAGTATTAGGAGATTGGATATAGTAAAATATAAATAAAATTAAAATGTGGGGATCTCCTGGAGACACAAAGTTTAAAACATAAAATGGTGTTGGGAAATGCAGAAATGATGGTTTGGGATAGGATTAAAAAGTTTACAATTATAAGAAAGCAATATTGAAATCTATAATCTTGCACTGTAAGTAAAAATATAATTATAGAGAACATCGAATGCCTGTGGCATGACAAAAATGGATGGTATGGATACTGAAAGCATAACAAAGCAATGTATGGAATGGAAAGACAAAGAAATTGCAAATTTTGTCTATAATAAAGTCTGGAAATAAATTAATGCTTTATAGATGGCGAGTTTTACATTTGGGGTATGCTTTGTGTTGATGGCTTAATTTTGTGCTCAGATTATGGTGTTGTTTAATGGTCTGCTGTTACAGTATTTTTATCAAAAATAATTAATAAAAGCATATCCAAAACTGAAAGTGTCAAAATAAAACTTGTAGGTTAGCTATTGGTGTTGTCTCAGTAGTCTGGTTCTGATCATGCTTTGTGGATTTGTGAGATACATGCTTGTAGAAAGCTGGGTAGAAAGCACATGGATGAGCTCTGTATTTTATTCTAATTTATGAATACTTGAACAAAGGTACCTGTATGGGTGAACAGTGCTACTCCCCAAAGACACAAGTTATTGCTCATCTCACTGCTGGGCACATCATAAATTCCTATGAGTTAATGGTCACAGAGGCCCCAAACATGCTGAAAATAATATGTAGTGTTGCCATTGTCTTTGGTTATACAAAATAATTCCATAGTTTTGCCTTGTTTCAGGAAAGAATTTACAAACTGAATAGGTTGTAAGAGTCAGAGGGGTAGATGACTCCAGGGAAACAGTGTCTTCCAGACACAACAGAATTGATAATTCACATATGAACTCACAGAGTCTGTGACATCATGTACAGGGCCTGCACAGGTTCAAGCCTTGGTAATAATGGTCTTTTGCTATATATCATGGTTTATGATCTTGTAATTATATGTTTGTTTTTCCTTTTCCTTTGTGTGTGTTTCCTGTGACTAAAAAAAAAAAATTTCCTATTTGTTTGCTTTCCATAGTGAGAAAGAAAGGGAGTGGAGTTGAGTGGGTGGGGAGGTGGGAAAGATCAGGAAGGAGTAATGTGAGGGGAAACTGAGATCAGATATATAATATGAAAAACATGTTTTTAAAAAACAAAATCAATAAATAAAACAGAATAAAATAAACAAGAAATTATAAATCTCTGAAACATTTAACCAAGAATTTTTACTGTTTGGCCATGGTGACCGCACATATCAACTACAGCTAACAGACTGTAAAAAAAGGAGTTCACAGAGGCTAGAGTCCTCTGCACCCCTTAGCTCTTCTCTTTCCTGGGGATTATTGGCTCCATGGTTCCCACTGCTGTTCCTGAGCTCCCCTGTAGGTAGATTTGTCTCTGTCTACATTATCCCTACTTCAGTGTTTACAGAACTCAGCTGCAGGGATAAATGACTCTTGTTTTCCAGGAGCTACTGACTGGATGGATCCGAGATGGATCTGAAGTTATGTCTGTATTATTATTAATGACCCTTTCAAAGCCAGGATCTTCCCTGTGACAGGAGGATCCAGCCCCAGCAGTAATCACTGATATTGCTATGACAGCAGGAGAGGAAAGGGCCATTTAAAACTTCATCAGGCTACTTCTAGGCAAAGCAGGAGAATAGACTCCTCTCCTATCACTGGGAACTCCAGAGACTTCCACCCCCCACCCATATTTCTCTGGGCCTGAGTCCTAAATATACTTAATGAATAGAGGTAAGTGATTTGTGACACACTTTATTATCTAGTGGCAATAAAGATCCAGTGTCACTCTCAGTGAATTCATATGTTGATTCTATTTAACAAAGAACATCTGCAGTGTTTTAACATGAAGACCTCACGTATAAACAACACCATGGACTCTGAAGGTAATTATGTCAAAAATGAAATCCACAGAGGCTGTTGGAACACCCTCATGAACAAAATTTCCTTTTCTGCTTTTGCTGTCCTTTACTTTTTTTTCCAACTTTGTAAACCAGTGCATTTTATTGGGGTTATTACAGGAATATGGGTAAGGGGTCACTTACAGGAGCAGAAATGACTCAAATACGGCTGCATCACCCAAACCCACCACACATGATAGAGCAAAATTGAAGCCAGCCTGAA